TGAATTAACTCAGTTTTATTCATATCAAATTAAATTTAATTAATATCTGCTCTGATAAGAATTTCCTTTACAGCTTTTTCAATCACTTTCAAATTCTCTTTGATAGTTTTTGAGCTGTAGACTAGATCAATATCATCTACATAACTTGAAGATTGCACTATTTTCATATTTCTATCTTTGAATAGATATGCAGTGTATATTGTAAATAAAATGAGTGAGATTAGAGATTCTTACAGCACTTCTATTTTTATTTCAGTCTTGACTTGTTTCATTTCATCAAAGAAAAGTTGTATAATTCTTTTAGACATAAAACAGTTAACTCATTTTATTAGAGAAAGTGACAGTTTTAATATCTTCAAAGTCTGAATTAACTTTGACTTTGAAACATGATCAAATACTTCTTTTATATCAATAAAAACTGCAGTTGAGACCAGACCTTCATACTTTGCTATTTAAATATTATGAACAACTGAGAGAACAGTGTCAATTGCAGAACATTTTTTTCTATCTCTCATTTATTCACTGAATAAAAGAGAGTTATTAATAGAGCTTATATAAGATAGTTAAGTAGCTATTATCTTTTTCAAAATCTTTTCTAGACAGTTTAATAGAGATATTACTCTATATAACTTAGAAATTGAAATTTTTCTATTAGGTTTTATAAGAATCACTTCAGTGGCTTCTCTTCAGCATTTAGAATAATATTCATTTTTCAAGAGATTGAAAAAGAGCTCAAAATATTCATTCTTTAAGCAGGAATATGTATTTTGAATAATTAAGTAATTAATTGAATTAGGCCCTGCAGCAGTTTTAATAGAACTTGAGAAGATAGCTGACTCTAATTCATCTTGTGTAAGGTCAGGTCATTTCTAGTCATTTTCATCAATGTAGTTGAGAAGTGATATATTCTCTTTCTCTGAATCTGAATCTGAATCTGATGAGTTCTGAAAGAGAATTCTTATGAAAGCTTGACATTTTTCCTCAAAAGAGTTTGCTGTATATGATTCATTCTGAAACTCATATTCTGAGACTGAAAGCTTTACTACACTTCTTATTTTAGTATAGTTAAAAGCTTTAAAAACTTTCTTCTCTTATGCTTCTTTAAGAAATTTATTTCAGTAGTCTGTTTTAGCTCTCTTAATATCTGAAAAATATTCATTTCTAACAGCTTTGAACTCTTTATTAGATATTACATCATTCTTTCAATCTCTTCTAGCAGCAGCTAATTCTTTTCTTTTAGATAAGATATTCTCATTTCATCAAGATTTTGAATACTTAGAAGATTTTCTCTTTGAAATATTATCTCTAATACTTGTTAGAATAATAGATGTAATAAGCTTCACTCTATTCTTAAGCATTTCATTTGAGATATCTTGATCAGAATTTCAATATAGCTCATTCTGTCTTTCAGATTTTAACAGTTTTATGCTTTCTTCAACTGCTTCTCAATCAGCTTTTTCAAAGTTAAACTGATTAGAGAGAAGAGGATTTTCACTCATTTATTTTTCACTCAGTTCAATATTAAATTGAATAATCTCATGATCTGATTCTGATGTCTCATTTGAATCAATAAACCAGTTTACAAGTCTTCTTCTTATTAGATTTTGTGATATGAAGATTAGATCTACAATAGATTTCTATTTCATATCTTTTCTAAAGAATGTTTATTGATTAGACTTATTAATCAAATCTATTGAATGCTCAAAGATTCATTTAATCAGATTATCAGCTCTCACTTCTCTCTTGTATTCTGAATTTCATCAGAGATAATGTGTATTGAAATCTTCTGCAATTATAGAGTTTCTTGATAAAGTTATGTTCAGAAATTCTCTATCAATTGTTCAGATATTGTTATTTTTCTTCAATGACTTTTCATTATAGATATTTATGAGCTGTATAGTATTAAACTCATTTTCTTTATCTATAATATCACTCACCAGAATATCAGAGTCAGATATGATATTAAATCTTAGATTAAATTAATATCTTGATCTCTTTCTTTCATAGATCACTACTCTTGACTTTATCTCAGACTTTTGAGATAGAAAGCAGTAGTAGCTTGAATAAGAAATGATATAATTTTGCTCAACATCAAAATTCAGTTTCTGAAGTAGTATAAAATCAACTTTTTATTCAAATGTAATTTGAAGATAAGAATAAATACAATTTGAGTTTCTATCTACATTATTTTAAATAAATGTGATTTTTGAAGAGTTTTTCAACTTTTTTTGTTGTTTTTATTGTATATTCATACTAAAAGAGAGTAGAGATAGAGTAGGATCTAGTCACTATCATCAGATAGTAGATTATAACTATTTTAAAATGTAGAAATCTTAACTGCTTGTATTGTATCTAGTTTATTATCAGAGTTATTTCTCAATTCTCTAATCTTAACAGAAGTTTGAGGATTCAAATTCTGTTTACATTTAGCTGAAGAATTGAAATTTGAAGATTTAGATAGTTAAGAGTGTCTTCTTTTTAAGCTTGCAGTTATAAGTCTACTGGCTTGACTCTTCTCTTCAGTTCTAGATTAACTTTGAGCTTCATCTTTTCTTCAGTTCTTTTGAGTTCTAGAAGTAAATATACATTCTTTTGAGCTAGATACATGTTTTTCTTTGCAATTAGAGCACTTAAGCAGAGTGTATTGACATATTTCATCTCTTTTTAAGCATATTTCACATTTATGCTCACTAGTTTTATAATCTCTGGCACAGAATGCACATTTTGAGTCTCTAAAATATGAGATTGTAAAGTGTTCATATCTTTGACAGTTTGAACACTGTGTTTGAGCTTTGAGATTCATTCTTGAGTCATTGTATTCATGAACTCTCATTTTCAAATCTGTTACTCTTACTTCAGAGATCTTTGACTGTTCAAGTGTTTTTATATATACTAGAACAGAGGTATTTCTCCTACTTTGTCTGAACTCAATTAAATTTAGTCATACAGACTTCTTTCTCAGTTGAATAGAGTTGTATTCTTTCAATTCATTTTTGAGAAGTAGTATTTCTTCTTCACAGTCAAAAATTTCAACTGAAATATTATAAAGAATGAATTTGTCTCACTTTTCATCTCTTTCAGATAGAATTATTATGTTTAACAAAGATTCTACTGCTGACTTTCAGAGATTCTCATTCTGAATAAGGAATTCAGCACTGAATTCAGGCATTGTAGTCAGAATAATGAAGTTTTCAAAGAATGATGACTTAATTGAAGCTATAACTGATTTTTGAACTTCAATATCAGTCATTAACTGAGAAAAGAACTGCTGATTAATTTCATTTCTGATTCTGAAAATGAGATTTGAGTTTAGCTTGTTTCTTTGCAGAATATCCTGATTTAAGACTTTGAGAATAAGTCTTCTATTTCTGAAGATTTGAAAGTTTTTCTCTTTTTGCATTTTCTTTTTCACTTTTCTATGAATAGAAATATGAGCTGTATTCTTCTCAGTTTTCTCAGAATTTTGAGCAGGTTTTGAGACAGTAGGTTTAGAGATAGCAGATTCAGCTGTTTGAGCATATGTTTTCTTCTGATTTAAAAAAGAAGAAGAAGTAGGAAAAAAAGAAGAAGAGCAAGATAAAGAGTCAGTGATTGTACTAGGAATTTTCAATGTTTTTTGAACTGTGTTTGAGATTTCAAGTTTGAACTTGATCATCTTCTGTAGTTGTCTAGTCTGAGTATGAAGAATTAACAGAACTTCTTTATTTATCTCACTCAGACACTGCTTTTCAAGAATCTTGCTTACTTTTTCAAGTTTCTGTATTTCAAGAACTTGTTATTTCTCTATTTCTTCTTTCTTTCTTCTCTTCAGAATTTCAATCTCAGAAATAGCATTTGAGAAAGCATCTTTTTTGACATCATCTGAGTGTATTTTTAAAATCATTATTCTCACTCAATGAAAAGTTGATCAGACTGTTTCAATTGAGATATTTCTAAGTCTGTTTTCAATTGAAAAGTTGGTCAGACTGTTTCAAAAGAAGAATAAAAGACTTTTGTGTATAAAACACCTGATTTTTTTCACACTAGTTTAGTAACTAGGTTAGATTTTTGAAGAGAATCTAATAAACTAAAATTGATTTTTAAGATAAATTAATAAAATCTTTACAATCTCTTTCTTGAGATACAGTGAGAAAGAGTACAATATCAATTAATAATGAATCAGATAATATGACAGTTTTTAAGAGAAAAACTGATAAAAAATAAATCAATTTTTTACAGAGAAATTGATTAAAAGTATTCAATTTTATTCTAAATCATTCAATTCTTCTCACACAACAAGTGTGCAACTCAAATCAGTTAATAAAGAGTATAAAAAAGAATTAAGTATTAATAAAAGCTCTTCAGTCACTGAAAAAGTAATTCTTATTTAAAAGAATATAAAATTATAATAGAAAATAACTTTATTTTTAATTCTTTATAAGAATATTATATAAAATCTAGAGAAAAACATCTTACTTTTTTAAGAGAAGTAAAAAACTATTTCTAAGATCTTTTTTTTTTTTGCATTAACTGCTGCAGAAGAATGAGATAGAAACTACTAAGATATATACTACTGTATACTCTCTATCAAGACTTTCTCTCTTCAGAGTCTTGATATTATAGAGAATATAAGTCTGTTTCTATATAATAATATAAATATTATCAGCAGGATGTAGAGGAACTGGTTATTTATATCTCAAAATAGAAGACTTTGTCAATGATTATATCAATATAGAGTTAATTCTTAAATTTAATAGAAATCTAGTGTTGCTGTTCTCAATCTCTTGCAGAATCTATTGAATATTGAGATATTAAAACTAGATTTAATATATCTCACTGTGCAGGGATCAAAGGCTCAGTCAGACCTTGAGGTATACTGATTTTATAGTTGTCGTGTCTGCCGATTATGTATCAAGCACAGTTGCTGAGGTATCTTTTTGTATTTTTCTGCCGGGGATGGGCCAGATTGGGAAGGGCGGTACGAGGGTGAGACTTGGCGTTGATGTTTTGAAACATCAAAGATGGACAGGGTTTTCGCGGAGATCGCTTCTCAGATATCTCCACAATTACAGATTGGGGATCTTCCAAAATCAAGAAGATTGGCGCATATGGCTATGTCTCTTCACCTTACAATTTGTATGGCACTTTGGCCCGGGGTTGTGGTGTGGAAGGGGTGGATGGGGGATAATCCCACACGGGAGCTTCGAACAACGTCTAGTCCACGTTTGGCTGGATATCTCCACCACCACACGGGGTATGCGGTCGGCGATGGGGTCAAAATGCTCGTATGATCGAGGGCTTTTCGATGGATCTATCGGCGGGTTCTTATTCGAAAAATCGAGCGAGTTCGTGGTGGAGCGGTTGCTGTGTTTTAATATACTTATCAGATATTTCATCTGATCATCTGTCTATTGATGAAAAGCTGTGCTTAGATCTCATGAGATCTTCAGTATAATTATCAGATTAGATTAGAACTTCTTTATAAAGATTGATTCTCTGTCTGAGATAATATTCACAGATAATTTATACAACTGAATCACATTGTAAATGAAGATATAAGTCAAATACTTTGACTTTAAGTTCTTATAAGTGAATATAAAGTGTGTTATCTTGATAAAGTAATCTACTATTATCAGTACACTGTCAAAGCAGGTATTATATATGTTCTTGCTTTTAGAGAGACTTATAAGAATATTTATTTCTAGCTGTTTTCAAGGTTTCTGTAAGATAAGTAGAGAAGTAAGTTCTTCATATAATCTGAACTGCACTATCTGTGAATTTTAATAAATAGTATAAGAATTCACTATCTTCTTTATAAGTTCTTATATTTTTAATCAGAAGTCTTTTCTTATAAGTAACTCATAAGTTCTAGTATCTGTAAAATAACCTGCTAGAGAAGAGTCATGATATCTTTTAATAAGTTTTATATATAGAAACTTATTTATAGATATATAAATTCAGCTCTCTCTCTATAAGAGATGATTTAAGTCTCTTCAATTCTTTATTTCTGCAGAATTAATTCCTACTATAAGTAATTTTTAAATATACTGAGTATATTTATTCTTCAGTTACAGTTCAGACAATCTGAATAGAAGATCTTATAAAAACTTATACTCTGTTTCTTCTTATATCAGATCTTTCACAGTGCTTCTCAAAGTCTGTAAATTCTTCAGATTATAGATACTCTCTTCAAGAATTCTCATACAGATTCTCAGAGTGATAACTCTCAGTATTATAGAGAGTAGTTGTATAGACTTCTTCTCTCTCTTCTCTTTCTTCTTTTATAAGAGATTGAGAGACTCTTCAGTTAATTTCTTTATAACACTCAGTTCAAGTATTCAGTGAAGCTTTTCTATCTTCTCTAGTCTCTCTATATCTATCACTCTGATCTTCTTGATATAATTAGACCTGTAAGAGAGTCTGTCTGCTAAGTTTTTAGTTCTTCTAATATACTCTATCTTGAATCAGAATTCACTCAGTCTCTGAGTTCAGTGAATCTACTACTGTAGAAGTTTCTTAATTGAAGTAAACTGTTATAAGCTGTTATAATCAGTTCTAATAGTAATCACTATCACAAGGTTCTTAAAGTAGTAATATCAGTAATAGAAGAATTTCACTATTGTAACTTGTAAGAAGCTTCTGATTATAAATATCATAGTTAATCTTCATAAGTTATATCTTCTATAAGAAAAATATCACTGAAACTCAGTTCTCATTTAACTGTAGTTATAAGATTATTTCTGAAATTGTAAAGAAGAAGACATCTGTCTTTAATCTGATTAAGAGTAAGAGATTAAAGTGAAACAGTATCATCATATCTATGAATATCTGTTTCAATCTTGTAAAGACTCTATGAGCTTCTGAAGTAAAAAAGTTCTTACAGTTCTTTCTTCTCAATAATCTTTTCATTCTTCATTTACAGAATAACTTCTTCTTGTTTTCACTCTTCAGCATTTCTGTAAGAGTTAAGAAGATTCTTATGAATATAAAGATAAACTGTCTATAAAAATTCACAAAGCTCAGAAAGATCTGAATCTTATAAATACTAGTTAACTCTAATTATAATAGAATAGTCTTAACTTATAAAGATTTCATCTGAATATTATCTGCAGTGATTACATATTCTAGAAAATTAATTCAGTGAATACTGAAGTTATACTTTATAAGCTTAATATATAGTTCTGTCTGATCTAAGATCTTTAATATAGTTTATACATACTCAGTGTATTCTTTCTTCTTTATAAAGTATATTATCACATCATTCAAATATATTATTACAAAGATATTCAGATATATACAAAGTATTTTATTAATAAAAGACTGAAATATTATAGAGAGATTAGTTAAATCAAACAGTATCACTAGATATTTAAATAATCTCAGTATAATTCTAAAGACAGTCTTTTATTCATTCTCAGACTGTTTTCACAGTTATATATATATATTAATTATAATTAGTTATGTGAATATAACAGCTTCTATAAGACAGTTAATCACATTCTTAATCAGAGATAGAAAATAGTAACTCTTTATTATCTTAAAGTTCAGATTACAGTAGTCTATATATAATCTGAGATCTTTATTCTTCTTCTTTATAAATATTACAGAGACTTTTGTGAAGATCTGTGAAGATTAGATAAAGTTATTCTTCAGATTCTTCTTTATATAAGTCTGTAAGATCTCTGTCTTATAATGAGAGAGCTTATATATTAATTGTCAGAAGAATTTCTATTCTTTTATCAAATCTATTATCAGATTCTTCTTATAATAAGATAAAAGCTTAGCTGTCTTAGCTGAACTGAATGTCTCTGTAAGATCTTGATATTTCTCTGATATCTGAAGCTCAGTTATTATAACTGTGAAGTTCTCAGACATTTATAAAGTTATTATATAGATGAGCTTGTCTTCTCTAATTAACTCTACAGTATTAACTGATTCTATCTTTATAAGTAAGTCTGTCAACACTGATCAGAAGTATAAACCTGACTTATAAACAGCTATATATAAATTATGTCTTTAAAGTTATATGAGTCTTAAGTATATATTATCTATGATATCTGTAATAATCATAGTTTCTATAAATCTTCTTCAGATTTCAGAGAGATCTTATAATTCAAAGATAACTCTTATAAGTCTCTTAGTTCTCAGATCTGAGTTCTCATACTCTGCTTATTATAAGAGTAAGTTTTCAGTTTTCATCACTAAGCTTATTTACTCTGTGAGCTTTAGAAACACTATAGTGATCTGAGATTCTGAGTTTATTAATACTTCTTATACTTATAAGATAGTAGTATTACAGTATAACCTCTCTCTGTAAGCATATATTTTCATTAAGAGAGTAAGAGATTTAGATATTAGTTTTAAGACTCTTAAGAAGACTGTTGCTGACTCTGTCTATAACTCTTCAAATTTCTATTTTAATTAATTTAAACAGTTTATGTGAAGATATTCTGATTTAAAACAGATAAAGCAGAGATTCTTTTTCTTAATCTCTCTATTATATACTCTATTTATAAGAGCTTATGAAGCTCTCTCTCTCTACTTAATAGTCAGATATGAATCTCTCTATATCTTATTATCTTTTCTCAGTAAATCTGTTCTCTGTTATTCTAACTCTTACAGAGCTGATTAATAATTCACTCTCTATAAGTCTGTGACTCTCACAGTAATCTATAAGTAATGAATAAGAGTTATCAGTTTCTTCAGAGTTAAGAGCTTAGAGTCTTACTTAATAAGCTTATTCTATATATTTTTATTCAGCTTCTTTATAAATATCATTATTCAAATCTTATTTCAGAGCTCTGTTTTCACAGATCTCAATTCATATTACAATTTCATGAAGTACTATGAGTAGTCTTTATCAGATTTCTCATCTCTTTTTCTAATATTTAATAATTACAGGTCAGATGTTCTCTGTTCAGCTCACAGAGTCTCTTAACTTATTCTTTAGATAAATCTTAAGAATAGATTAGTAAGATCTCTCAGAATCATTCTCTGAATAATTCAGTCAGTTCTTGACTTCAGTGTAGTAGAGATCTGTTATTATATAAATAATAGCTTCTTTATCTTTCATATTATATAGTCAGACTTGTAAGTTAATTTCAAATATAAACTTATAAAAGCTTTTATAGATTGTGATTCAGTAGTTAATCTTAAGTAATTATAACTTAAGAAAGTTTCTTTTCAGTTCATACATATCTCTGAAGATTATGTTTAGAGACTTGATTTAAGAGTGTTTATAGATAGTAAGCATTTCTTATAGAAAAATAGCTTCATTCTGTGAAAGATGCTTAAGAATGTTCTTCACTAAGATTAATTCATTTATAAGTTCAGAGAATTTCTCTGTCACAGATGTAGAGAATAATATTCTGTGAGTAATTAATAAGTTTTCTGAGACTTCTTTTATAAGAGATATTCATAATTTAGATAACTGCTTCTGAGTGTCTGCAGTAGAGTTTACAGAGATTAAAGTATATAAGTTTCTAGTTCTTTCAGTTACAATAGATAATTGCTCACTAACAGAGCTTGAAATGTAAGAATAAGTACTTACAGATGATTATACAGATTTTTACAGCTTGATATGATATATACTGTTAACTACTAGAAGTATTTACAGTAGAAAGATAAAATGTAGAGATTAATATATAATAGTATTCAAGCTGAGTTATGAATAGTATTTGTGCACTTCAGCCTATATAGTTATGTGTAGTCAAGGGCTGCTAACTCTATTGATTACATGAGAGATAGAAATGAAAGTAAAGAATCCGCGAGAAGCGGAATTTCTTACATTGAGAGAAAATAATTCTCTCATTAACTGAGTCACTCAGACATGATGATATTATCTCACTAATAAAGAGACAGTGATAGAGAAATCTGAAGAGTTTTATCAGAAGAATCTGAAGAAAGAGATAGAGTTAATATACTGTATAACAGATAACTGAGACTTGAAAATAGATGAAGAAGTCATCACTCTCACTGCAAGCTTAGCAGTAGTATTCATTGTTAAAGATGAATGAACATAATATCTCTTTACAGATTATAAAAATATCTTTTCAGAAAAGAAAGCAGCAAAGTTTTCTGATATTAAGATATAATACAAGATTTATCTTGAAGATAATGTAATAGTATTATACAGATCTCTTTATAACTTATTAGTAAAGATATTGAATGTTCTGCACAAATTTCTTAAGAAAGTATAATTAAAGAACTGAATACACTTATCAAAGAGTTCAGCAGAGAGGCTCTGATGGCCGTATTAATCATACGGCCACCCGGTAACTCAAGCACCTCA